GATGTACCGCCCCCCCCCTCGCCCTTCCCCTTCCCCTCCGCCCTTCCCCTTCCCCTCCCCCCCCCCCCTCCCCTTCGGCCACGTCACCCACTCCCCCCCCCCCCCCCCCCTTTTCCCTCCCTTGCTCGTACACAGCTCGCAGTCGGTCAAGCCGGCCAAAGGCCACGTCATGGCCGAGAAGCTGGGACTGGTGGATGACGAGTACATCCCGGTGGGTCACTACGCAGGCAAGGTCGACGCGGCGGCGGTGCTAGAGCGGCTGGGTCCGGATGCGCCTCAGGGCAAGTACGTGCTCATCACGGGCATCAACCCGACGCCGCTGGGAGAGGGCAAGTCGACGACGGCTATCGGGCTCTCGCAAGCGCTGGGTGCGCATCTGGATCGCAACGTTGTCTGCACCGCGCGGGTCCCGGCCATGTCCACCACCTTTGGCATCAAGGGCGGCGCGGCCGGCGGCGGCTACGCCCAGATTGTGCCTATGGACGTGTTCAACCTCGGCCTGCCGGACTCGCACTACGCGTCGCTGGCAACGAACCTCATTGCAGCACAGCTTGACACCCGCATGTACCACGAGTCGACCCAGTCGGACGCCGCGCTCTATCGGCGCCTTGTGCCGACCGTCAAGGGCGTCCGCACCTTTGCGCCCATCATGCTCAAGCGCCTCGCCAAGCTCGGCATCGACAAGACCGAGCCCGACGAGCTCACGCCTGAGGAGATCCGCAAGTTTGTCCGGCTCGACATCGACCCCCACACCATTTCGTTTATGCGCGTGCTCGACGTTAACGACCGTTCGCTCCGCAAGATCACCATCAACCAGAGCCCGACCGAGAAGGGCCGCATTCGCGAGGCCGAGTTTGCAGTGACCTCGGCGTCGGAGCTGTGCTCGGCGCAGGTCCTCTGCACCTCGCTGGGCGACCTCAAGGAGAAGATCGGCAACACTGTGGTGGCGTTCTCGCGGTCGGGCGACGCCGTGACCGTCGACGATCTCGGTGTCACTGGTGCTGCCACCCTCATCATGCGCGACACGGTCAAGCCGAACCTGATGCAGACCATCGAGGGCACGCCCGTACTTGTGTCGGGCTCGTGCTTTGCCAACATCTCTGTCGGCAACTCGGCGGTCATCGCCGACCAGGTCGCCCTCAAGCTCGTCGGTAACGACGGCTTTGTCGTCACCGAGGCCGGCTTTTCGGAGGCCATCGGCGCCGAGAAGTTCTTCAACATCAAGTGCCGGGTCTCGGGCCTTCAGCCGTCAGCGGTGGTTCTTGTTGCCACTGTCCGCGCGCTCAAGGTCCACGGCGGCGGGCCGCCTGTCTCGCCGGGCCGCCCGCTCGACGACGCATACACATCAGAGGCGCTCGACCTGCTCGAGGCCGGCCTGACCAACCTCCGCGACCACATTGGCAACCTGACCAAGTACGGCGTCCCGGTTGTGGTCGCCATCAACAAGTTTTCCACCGACACCGACGCCGAGGTTGCGCTTGTCCGCGATGCCGCTATTGCCGCCGGCGCAGTCGATGCTGTTTGCTCGGAGCACCACGGCAAGGGCGGCGCCGGCGCGGTTGATCTTGCCAACGCCGTCATCGCCGCCACCCAGGAGCCGTCCGACTTTAAGCACCTCTACGAGCTCGACCTGCCGCTCAAGGACAAAATCGAGGTCATCGCCCGTGAGATTTACGGCGCCGACGGCGTCAAGTACTCGACCAAGGCCACGGCGCGGCTCCGTGACTACGAGCGGCTCGGGTTTGGCAAGCTTCCAGTGTGCATTGCCAAGACGCAGTACGCCTTTTCGCACCGGCCGGCCGACAAGGGCGGCAAGCCGAGCGGGTACACCTTTGAGATTTCTGACGTCAAGTCGGCCATCGGCGCCGGCTTTGTGGTGCCCATTGCCGGCTCGGTCTCGCTCATGCCGGGCCTCCCGACGCGGCCGGCCATCTACGACCAGGACGTGTACACTGGCGACGACGACACAGCCGGCGCGTCGAACGGCATGGCCATCGGCGACGCTATCGGCCTCATGTAGAGAGCAGAGAAAGTGATTGAAAGAGCCGAACTGTGGTGTGGGGTGCGGGCAGTGTGTTACTGTCTCTCGTCGTTGACGATAAAAGATGGCGCCATGGTGGGAGCTAGAGGGTAGCGACGGCCTTCTTGGCGGCGTCCTCGAGGTCGGTGGCGGTGGTGATGGCAAAGCCGGACTCCTTGAGGATGCGGTTGCCCTCCTCGACCTCGGTGCCCTCGAGGCGGACAACGAGCGGGATGTCGAGGTTGAGCGACTCGAGGGCCGAGGTGAGGCCCTTGGCGATGGTCGAGCACCGCATGATGCCGCCAAAGATGTTGACGAGGATGGCCTTGACCTGGGTGTCCGACGAGATGATGCGCAGCGCAGCCTCGACCTGCTCCTCGGTCGCGCCGCCGCCGACGTCAAGGAAGTTGGCCGGCGTGGCGCCCTCGAGCGCGATCTGGTCCATGGTGGCCATGGCGAGACCGGCGCCGTTGACAAGGCACCAATGTTGCCGTCCATGCCGATGTAGTTGAGGTCGTACTTGGCGGCCTCGACCTCACGCGGGTCGTCCTCGGACGTGTCGTGCATGGTAAAGACGTCCTTCTGGCGGAACTCGGCGTTGGGGTCAAAGTTGACCTTGGCGTCAAAGCAGAGCACACGCCCAGTCTCGAGCGTCCCGAGCGGGTTGATCTCGATCTGGGTGGCGTCGACGTCGAGGAACATGTCGTAGAGCTTGGCGATCTGCTCCTTGGCGGACTCTTCGTGAGTCTCGGTCTTGAACTTGAGGAACTTGACCACGCGCTGCAGCTGCTCGTCGGTGAGCCCGGTGTTGATGTTGACCGGCTCGTACATGATGGCGTCCGGAGTCTCCTCGGCCACTGCCTCGATGTCCATGCCGCCCTGCGGCGACGCGATGAGGACCGGGCCGTTGTACTCGCGGTCCATGAGGATGGCAAAGTACTTCTCCTCGTCAATGTCCAGCGCCTCGGCCACCATGATTTTGCCGACGTGCACGCCCTCAGCCGGCGTCTGCTTGGTCACCAGCGAGTGGCCGAGCATGTTGAGGCCCAGCTCGCGGACCTCCTCGGGCGTCTTGGCGAGGTGGACACCGCCCTTGAATCCGTTGGTGAACACACCCTTGCCGCGCCCACCTGCGTGGACCATGGCCTTGATGACAAACTCGGAGCCCTCGTCGAACACCATGTTGGCCGCCACCTTCTCGGCCTCCTCGGGCGTCTCTGCCACGCCAAACTGCTGAATGTAGAGCCCAGCCTTCTGCATCAGCTCCTTCGACTGGTACTCGTGGAGGTTGAGCGACCGCGCCGGTGCCGCCATCTGTAGCAGTGACAGTCATGGGGGGCAGAAGGGGGGGGGGGGGAGGTGCAGGGTAGGGACGTACAGCGGTGGCGAGCACAGGCCGCATGACCGCGCCAGAGGCGGTGAGGGTCGTCCGGGCGAGGGAGAACATTCAAGGGTGTGAGCAGGGAGAGGTGGCCGTCAGTTCTGGGCGCCGGGTCCCGAGTCCAAGGCCGAGCCCAGGGCCAAGCCGTCCGCGGAGGGGGGTAGTAGTGGGGATCTCAATCTGATCTTAATGCGGACAGAGGGGGTAGCAAAGGGTAGCAATGGGTAGCAAAGGGAGGTGTTGGGTGGTTGGCCATTGGGTAGGTTGATTGAGTAGGATCGGCTGGGCGCGGTATGTGTGGGGCCAGTGGTACAGCGGGAGGAGAGGCAAGTACGGACTGCGAAGCCTGCGAAAGCGATGTAGAGCACGCGCGTCATGGCAAGTGTCACGGGTGGAAGGCTTCATCTGCTTGCATGGGCAAACATCAGAGGATGGTAGGCGGCGCATCGCCGTCGAATGATATCTGAGCCTTGGCCTCGGCCTTGGCCTTGAGCTCGTCCTGATACCGGGCGGAGAAGACGTGGAACATAAAAGTGGCACCATTCCAGGCGGAGCAGATCATGACGGCGCAGAGGTAGAGGGTGTGGATCCAGTAGTGTGACCACATGATCATGGCGCCAATGCACGAGATGGCGGCAAAGACAGCGTGGCCTCCAAAGTAGACGGCGCGGCGCCTCCACTCGGCGTCGCCGCCGAGGGCGACAAGCGGACGCAGCGATGACGAGGCGTAGAGAGTGGCTAGCCCCTGCTCGCGGACAGCTTTCTCCTTGATGACAAACACGATTGAGTAGTGGACGATAATCCAGAAGGCGTAAAAGGCAAAGACCGGCCCAAAGATGCCCCAATAGCCGTGCTCGGCAGCAAAGGCCGAGACCGAGCACGCGTCGGTGATGCAATAGGTGAACGGCTCGCCGTTGGTGGCGTGCCATCGGATACCCCAGGCCATGAGCGGCGGTGAGAGATGCAACCAGAGCGAGGTCATAAAGGCGTGCGAGTGGAGGACCAGCGAGTTGCGGAAGAGGGCGATCGAGGCGGTGAGCGTGCCGGAGAGGGCAAAGATGATGCGAAAGAGCATAGCATTATGCGGGAGAATCCAGACGTAGACCATGACGAGGACGTTGACAAAGTAGCAAAGATCAAGGAGGTACATGTGGTAGTTTTGCTTGAAGAACGTGTACGTCCGCGTAGTCATCAGCACAACAGCCTTGATGCTGTGCCACTTGTAGTACTCTACCGGCCATCGCCCCAGGATAAACGCCGTGGCAAAGACATTGATGCACGAGAGGACAAAGACAAGCTCGTGCCGGAACAGGATCTTGCCGCGGAGCTCGGCCACCACCTCGGCCTGGATGTCGGCGGGGGCATGCGACGACGGCAGCACCGAGGACGTTGGCGACTCGGGCTCACTCTCACCCACCTTGGTCTCCTCTGTCGGCTCCTTGGATGTCTTCTCGACCGTCTTGCGCCGTTGGCGCACTCCCTTGGTTGACGACGATGACATGGTCGACCACAGGTGGAGCGAGGTCTGGCGGTGTTCGGTGGACATCGGGTCGAACGACCGGCGGGCCGATGGGCATGATGGACGATTCCACGGCGTTTATGGAGGAAAAGGCGACGCCCGTGCACGGCTTGGGGATAGAAATGGCTGCGATGTTGTGCGGTGCAACGATTCAGGTACGTTTAGTGTGCGTAGCTAGGGCGAGATCGGCGGGGCGGTGTAGGCTGCGGTCGAGATGGTGAGGACGGCCGAGACTGAAGCAAACTCGTGGCGGAACGAGTAGACAAAGGCAGCAAGCAAGGAGACAAGAAGGTACTGGGTGAGCGAGCCAAAGGTGGTAAGCGCGGCTTGCTGTGACGCTTTTGAGGCCATGGTCGAGATGGCGATGGCGCCGGCGACGCGGAGCGGTACCATGGTGACGCCGATGGCAATGACCATGTTCTTCTTGAACGCCAGCCACCACTTGGCGTGCGCAGACCGGAGCGGGCGCGGGTTGAGCTTGTGCAGCAGGTACGTCGAGATCCACGCCTGCGCAAAGGCGGTGTAGAAGAACAGCGCGGCGGCTGCCTGGTGGACCCAGAACGCGTCGCGGAGCGAGACGTTGCCCAGCACTGCCAGAAAGACGACCGAGGCGTACGAGACGGCGAGCAGGCAAGTGTTCCAGCTTGTGAGCGTCGAAAAGCCTACCAGTCGCAGCCCACGCCCGGCAGCAATGAGCTGGCCGTGAGCGGCAGCAATGTACTGATGCAGCACGTACGCCGCCAAGCCCAGCAGGACCGCCAGCACCGTCATGCCTGCCGAAAAGATGCCCGACTCGGGCGCCGCCACACCGGTGGCCGAGATCGGCGGCAGGCCACCTGAAGTCGAGCTGTGACCGTAGCCAAACGAGAGCACAAACGTCGCGCCCACAGTCGCCACCAGCACGCCAGCCCCGACCGCTGGCAGCGTGCTCGGCTGCAGCGCCGGCATCCGCACCACCCGCCGCAGCTCATGTTCAGCAACTCTTGCATGCCGCCTCGGGGCGGCCACACCGTACGCCATCGAATGACCCCCAACCTCATCGCCATCCGAAGACTCGCCACCATGATCAAACCCGGGATACTGCCTCCGCGGTGGCAGCACAGGCGGATCATCATCACCACTGTTGTCCCAGCCAGCTTCCGCCCGCGCTCCCGACCTTCTCGGTCCAGCAGCATACTCGCCATAGCGTCCATCACCTAAGCTGCCATCTGCATCAAAGGCATCAGCATGATCATTGTCATCATCATCAGTCAGTCCGTCGAGTCGCTCCAGCGGCGGAGGCGCCAGACCATGGACGTCTTGCGACGACGGCGAGAGCGACGACATGCCCATGCCCAGGTCTGCCATAAGTCGAGATTCTGTGTAGTTAGAGAGGGAGGAAGTATGTATGGGGGGGGGGGGAGGGACGGGTGTGGTGGCCTGTCGCCGAGCAATGCCCCACCACCCTGGCTGGTGCTGGTGTTGCCGGAGGCACCTGACTTGGCTGGCACCTGCCATAGGCTTGACCCTTTGTGGGCACGCGTACACGCGCACGCACACTTGTCTTGCGGACAGATATGTCAGACACTGCGCCCTGTGACGGCTTGCTGAAGCCGCGCTTGTCGCCGCTCGATGCTGCGGTGGCTGCGCATGGGGAAGAGGCTGCGAAGACCAAGGTCGCACTGTTGCTCACGCCTGACAACGAGTTGGAGCCGTATCAGGCCGAGCTGGCTGGCGCTCTGTTTGTGGGCCATTTGGCGACCGACATGGACTCGATCGGATCGGCGGTGGGCGCGGCGGAGTTGTTTGGCGGGACGGCGACGCGGGCGTCCGAGATCAACTCGGAGACTGCGTACGCGTTGGAGACCTTTGGCGTGGCGCTCCCGCCGCGGTTCGAGGACGCGGTCGTCGCCGCCGGCAACGACGCCAAGGTTGTGCTTGTCGACCATTGCCAGACGACGCAGATGAACGCGGCTGTGGATCCGGCAACGGTAGTGGGCATCATCGATCACCACGCGCTGCAGGCGTCGACGCTCACCACCGACCTGCCCATCTACATCGACATCCGCCCGTGGGGCTCGGCGTGCACCATCATTGCGCACACCTTTGTCACGCTCAACCGGCCGATCTCGCGGCCGACGGCAGCGCTGCTGCTGTGCGGCATCTTGTCGGACACGCTTAACCTGCGGTCGCCGACATCGACCCGGCACGACGCGGTCATGGTGGCGCTCCTCTGCACAGTACTGGAGCTCGACGACCCGAACGCGCTTGCCAAGTCGCTGTTCAAGGCCAAATCGCGGACACTCTCGTTGCTTTCGGCACACCAGCTTGTCCGCGGCGACCAGAAGACGTTTGATCTCGGATGTGCGGATGGAACCAGCCTCACTGTCGGCTTTGGCGTGGTTGAGACGACCGATGTGGAGGCGATGCGCGCGCGACGTGACGAGCTCCTCTTTGAGTGCCGCGCGCTCAAGAAAGAGGAATCGCTCGACATGGCCTTTCTCGCGCTCGTCGACATCGCCAACCTTCGGTCGGAGCTGCTGCTCTGCGGGCCGCGCGAGGCGGCGTTGGCGGTCGCGACGTATGGTGGGAGTGTTGAAGCCGCGTCTTCGACACTGGACCTTGGTGACCGCGTCTCGCGCAAGAAGAACTTTATCCCACCGCTCTCGCAGACGCTGCAGAGCGGCTTTGCCTTTCCGCCGGACTTGGCGAGCTACGCCGAGCCGGACGAGGAGTTTGGCAAGGTGGTGACAATCTGCACCCCAACAGGGTGCATGACCCAGCGCCGCGGCCCGGCGTTTGCGGCGGTCGCGTCGGCGGCGGTCGCCGCGACCGCTTTCGCCGAGTGCGGGCACGCCCACGCCGGGCCGCACTGAGGCTGCGATTGCAAAGGCGAGCGATGCGATGGAGAGTCACGAGTAAACCTTGGTCTCCGTCTTGACAAAGTGCAGGACGGCAGAGAGGACGCGCTGGCGGGCCATCGACTGGGAGAGCGCGTGACGGCGGAGGAACGAGTCGCAGCGGTCGAGGTTGGCATCGCCGTCGGCCACGATCTTGAGCGTGACGTTGGGCACGCTGGCGAGTGCCGCCACGTCGTACAAGTGCGGCAGCACGTTGGCGCCATGAAGAGCGAGGACTGGAACCGGCAGCGCTGCCAGGTGCTCGGTATCGTCTGCCGGGCCGGCCGGCAGGCTGATGGCCACCACGCCGGCGACCAGCTTGGCGGTGCCAGACTCGACGCACGCGCCAGCCAGTGCTTTGGTCAGCGGAAGGACCGACTCGGAGCGGGCGACAAGGAGGACCGGGCCGGGGAAGACTCGCGCTGTCTCGCGGAGCAGGCCGTCGAGAAAGAGTGCCATGTTTGCGTCGGACGCCCGCTCCGACGCAGCCCGGAAGGCGACAACCGGGCCGATACGCGAGAACAGCGCCGGCCACGACTCGCGCGCGCACGGGCTTCCGGCCTCGACGTCATCCTCCACCTCGTACAGCACAATCGGCGGAAGCTCTGTCGACATGAGCGCGTTGACCGCAACCAGTTGCGGGGCAAGGAGCGCCGCGTCGTGCACCAGCCGCGGCGCGCACAGACCATTCAGCGTCATGGCCGGCAGCAGCGAGTCGGGCATGCGCGCCTGCAGTGGCGCAGCGACCCAAGGCGTGGCGCCAGGGCTGCTCGCCGCAACGTTGATCGCCTCCTGCAGGCACGAGACCAGCGGCTGCGCAAGGAGCAGAACCTGTTTGGCGCACCCGCGAACAAGCTCGATGAGCGCCAGCACGTACGGCGCCGAGCCATCGACGAGATGTGAGGCGACAGTGCTTGACGACGTAGGCGGCGCAAGAGATGCCGCAGTCGGCGGCGGCACTTTCACGCCCGACTTGGCCAGCGTCTCAGCCAGCGACGACGAGGTGCGAGCGGTGAGCGAGGCTATGTGCGCGGCGAGCGGGGCATTGGCGGCGGCTGCGGCGATGGCCGACGACGTCGTCGCCGATGCTGCGGTTGTCAGTAGCTTTGACCTCGGGCGGACAGCAGCCAGCACGGCAGTGAGAACAATGGCGATGACGGCCTCGTCCCACACCAGTGCGCCCATAAAGTGGCGAAAGAGCGCAGCGTCGGCAGCCGATCGGGTCCGCAGGGCGGTGATGTCTGAGGTCTTGGAGACGGCGTGCAGCCTATGCTCGAGCACGAGGGTGGTGATCCGTGAGGCAGTTGTCTGCGCCACCCGGCGCATGTGCCGCGGGACCTGCAGCAGCCAATTGTCGGTGTTGCTGCTGCTTGCGGCCGCAGCAGATGCCAGGCTGTGTGCCCTCTTGGTGTCCGGCGGTCCGTCGTCGTCACGCTTGCGCTTGCGCGACGGGTCAGCCGCAGCCATAGGTGAGAGAGAGAGAGGGAGAGAGAGAGAGAGTGGTGGTGGTGGTGGTGGGAGGGGGTC